GGACATTAAATAAAAATTATGCCAAGATAGGGGGAACTCAAATTAAAATTACTCTTATTACAGGTAGCCTTCGACCAGCAGACGTATTTCCAGTCGTCGCTTCTCTCCCTTAGTACAGGGGGACCTAACTTTCATTTTATGTAATGTGCCTTTGTATCAAATTGTAAAAAAAAATTCCACAGGCATGGTAAAACAGGAAATGTACCCTCAATGCATGCTCAATGTTCTTAGAAAATGTGAAGTTTATACATAAAGATGTCATCATATTTTAGACCTGTTACCAGATTCTTTAGTCCTTACAAAAGAATTGATTTGTGTCATAATATCCATTACAAGGCCAAATTCAACGAAAAACATAATTGCAGCAACATCTATAACTGTCCCAAACAAACCATTTGTACTTAGATACTGTCCTAAAGACAGTTGTGCATGTAAGTTCATTCACCCTCAGGTGCAGAAGTCCCAGACAATCTTCTTGGCTGCCATAGCGAAACAGTTTGCTCGCAAAGATATAATGTCGTTTCCGCTCCTTCTTGAAATTGTGAAGGCAATTTTGGCCAGTCTTAAGTAAATACACCCTCCGTAAATAGGCTGTCATCATGTTTAGTTATTTTTTCTGTGATGGCATGAAGCTCATCCAAGATGTGATTCGCCTCCCTCTTGCATTGCTTTATGTTGCTGTCATCATGGGGCTTTGGCTTGTACTCCTCTCAGAGAAACCTTCCAGCATAAGCAGGGTTGTCGGACAACAAATAGCGAAGACGAATTTCAAGCTTTTCAACTTCTACAGTTACATTATATTCTCGGTCTCTTTCTGCGATGAAAATCGCGATGGAGAGGAATCATCGGAAACAGAAAGCAATGGTGGTACCGCTAGTGATCCAGAGCGCCTGTCTTCAAGTGATTCAGAACACGACTCAGAGGTCGATGAGTCAGACGGCTTGGAAATGGGCAGTTTTATCGAACATTCTTATAAGGTGTTATACGAACCAGATGCAGAAGTCGAGTGCATTACAGTGTGTGACAAGAAGGTAAACTGACCTTTTTTACGCTATATGACAAGCTCGTCCCCAAGGCGCCCTTCTCTGGCTTTGGAGGTGGGGCGCCCCACCTCCAAAGCCAGGGAAAAGCGCCCTAGGGACGAGGTTGTCTAGCCTACGTAGCAAGCGTTTTCGCGCGAGTTCGTCGAGAAAGTTGGGACGAGAGCTCTCGCTCTAACTTTTCGCGCAATAACTCGATTGTGAACCATTGCTACGCAGGCTACCTCGAAAGTCATCTTTCGCTCCACGGAAGGCCAAACATTTTAATGGTCAATTTACGACAGCTGATGACAGCATCAAATGTCGGTGCGCAGAAACGGATGTTTTCGCAGGCTACCAAGTGGGTGGTTTTCTTTTATTCGCGTCATTTTTCTCGCGGTCTTTGACTCTCGTTCCCCTTTCTTTTCTCCGAAACTGGACGGAAACGGTTGATACGAACTTAACATAATCATTGAAGATGAAACTAACTTTTTATTAAATTGTCCAAGTTCTTCTTCGATAAGAGATCGAGATGTTCTTCTCTAAACTAGAACCTAAACTACCGTTTCTACGACTACAATCACATAAGACCTTATTATCACATCTCATGAATTCTACTGACTATTTTAGTAACATAACGGTCAGTGTGTCATCAACAAATCGCCTGTAGTATGTTGGCATCTTGCCTTCCTGCTCCAATCTTTCTTCAATGCTACACATAAACACACTAGCGAGTAAAGGACCAAGTGGGGATCCCATAANTGGAGAGGAATCATCGGAAACAGAAAGCAATGGTGGTACCGCTAGTGATCCAGAGCTCCTGTCTTCAAGTGATTCAGAACACGACTCAGAGGTCGATGAGTCAGACAGCTTGGAAATGGGCAGTTTTATCGAACATTCTTATAAGGTGTTATACGAACCAGATGCAGAAGTCGAGTGCATTACAGTGTGTGACAAGAAGGTTAACTGACCTTTTTTACGCTTTATGACAACCTCGTCCCCAAGGCGCCTTTCCCTGGCTTTGGAGGTGGGGCGCCCCACCTCCAAAGCCAGGGAAAAGCGCCCTAGGGACGAGGTTGGCTAGCCTGCGTAGCAAGCGTTTTCGCGCGAGTTCGTCGAGAAAGCTGGGACGAGAGCTCCCGCTCTAACTTTCGCGCAATAACTCGATTGGGAACGATTGCTACACAGGCTACCTCGAAAGTCATCTTTCGCTCCTCGGAAGGCCAAACATTTTATTGGTCAATTTATGACAGCTGATGACAGCATCAAATGTCGGTGCGCAGAAACGGATGTTTTCGCAGGCTACAAAGTGGGCGGTTTTCTTTTATTCGCGTCATTTTTCTCGCGGTCTTTGACTCTCGTTCCCCTTTCTTTGCTCCGAAACTGGACGGAAACGGTTGATACGAACTTAACATAATCATTGAAGATGAAACTAACTTTTTATTACATTGTCCAAGTTTTTCTTCGATAAGAGATCGAGATGTTCTTCTCTAAACTAGAACCTAACATACCGTTTCTA